AGTTAGTGATATTTTCCAATGACAGGAAAAAGCCAATATCATATTTTGCGAACAGTGATTTCCAGGCAGAGAATCAAGAAATTTCTGATAGAACTATTTAAAGCGAGGTAATTTTTGAGAGTCTGGAGAACCTAGCAACTTCAGGATAAAGGAAAGGTGCAGCTTGACAGTGGCTGTACAACAGTAGATCATGGCACTTTCTAAATAGATTCATATCAAGTTTCATTAAGTTGATAACTCCGACAGCCATATTATTGATTTATTTTTTGTTTTTACTTTCATTTTTGAAAAATGTTTTTATTTCATCATAACATAATTGATTATAAAGAAGTAATAATCATTATTTATATGTCAAAATTTTTATAAGCCGCCTTAAATTCATGCAGGCTGAAGGACATCTTTTAAAGTTTAGAGAATACTGTTTACACAAGCTAGATTTTATCATTTAAAAAAATCTTACAGAGCTGGGACAATGCTGCTATGCTTCTTTCACCTTTTACTTTTTTCAAATGTATAAAAGGGACAGGAGTGGCAAAATATCACAGAACAAATGTAGTGACCAACTAGTATAAAACAGAATAAACGGTGATCAATAAGAATTATTGCTTTGGTGACTTCACAGAAAGATGTATTATGCTTGGCTCAACAAGTATTCTAGAAGGCTTGATAATATTTCAGTAAATCTTTTGTTTTCTGTTTTCGTTTTGTGAATTTTCTTCAATCTTCATTTAATTGGGGCAGTGAACAAAAGCTTTTTCTTCTCCGATTATATTGATCTCCTTATAAAAATGTCATGACTGTTTAAATAGCCCAGCGAGAGTTAAAATGCCAAACTGCATCTCCCAGACAAAACCAAAAGAATGCTGAAATTCATTCTCATTATGACATAGATAAATTACATTGTTAATCGTTTTATTATGGGACAAAGTATTTAAAAATTTTACTTAAATCATCTATTACTTATTTATATTCTGTCTGCAACAAAATGTACATTAATGTCACATGCCAATTTGTAATTAGGAAAAAAATTAATATTTAATTAACTTGCAGGTTAATATTATTAGAAATTGCAATGGCATAACTCTACGTCACATCAAACAGCATTCAAAAAGTTCAATTTATTTATTATTATTGATTGCAATGTTTTTCATAATCAGCCTATTATTACTATAAATTTTGGCAATAGGTTTTGAAAAACATTTATTACATTTTTGGTTTTATTTAATTTTGATGTAAGTAACTAACACATATATAATTGTTTTGGCAAGGGGGATTAGAGATGATAAACTACAGTTTCATCACTTCATAGCACCCATAAAAGTACAATACTTCACAATTAAACAATAAAATACCAGGCACGATCATCAAACAGAATTTTTACCAGTTACAAAAGCTATACAGAGCAGTAATAAAGACCAAATTATACTATGGCCCACCAATTTGTTGAGCCAAAGCTACTCCAACCTTAGGCAGCATACAAAGATTGACAAACTATGTGAGATTAGAGGGGTTCATCAATGATGATGGTAACTCTGAAGACGATGATAGTGCCATTGGTGATGGGAACGCAAAGGAACAGTGAACAAAGATCAATAAATCGGTGTTTTTAAAAAGGTGTATCTGAGGTCTGATGCTAAAAGAGTGTAAAAGAACAGACGCCCTTTTAAAAAAAAGTTTTATTACTATAATAGTTGATTTCATCAAATTATTTTTATTTATTTATTTTTCTTTTAATCTCATCCTTTTCCCTCAATTCAATCAATCCACACCATTACATGTATTACATAATCAGTGAAAACAACCTTGTTAATTGCACTAGAAACATTGCTAAACCATCTCCATTGGACATATTTATACAAGGAAAAGTGAGGGAAAGCTAATTTAAGCTCCAGAAGCAATCAAACTGGTTGAAACTGAACGTTTAGGGCACACAACAATAATCAATATAATCAGGCAATCATTTTAGCCTACCTTCACCAGACAAAAAGGAGAATAATTTAGGAGGACATCAAATACAATTATATGGTATACAGATATACCATATACTTTTTACAGATACCAAAACAAACGAAGGGTACAGATCGTGAGTTTTCTGAACAAGCCCAATTATATGAGCCATCATACTCATTAAGAAAGTACACCTCGATCTTTCAAGCTGAAATACATGCCATCGCTGCTTGTGCCTTAGAAAATGTTAAAAAATGTTATACTGACAAAAAAATCCTTATAAGATATAAAGCTTGCTGATAGCCAAGCAGCTGTTAAATTAATTTTTTTTTTTTGCTTTGTGTGGATCACATCTGCACCCCTGATGGAGAAACCACCCCCACAGCCGATGAGCACAATTTTATCTTTTCCTGTGCCTAATTTATCAGATGTTTTCAGAGGATGTGGTTAAAATCCTAAAATAAATCATAAAATTTGGAAATCATATATAGGTCCTGAATCTATTCTTGGGATACAAAAACAAACACAGAGTTCTCTATCCAAAAAAGATAAACTCTAGAAGTGCTCAATAGTAAACTTATGCAAAAACAACCCCTCACCAAGACTGGCAAACTCAAAGCTGCAGTGAGAGAGGGTTAAACTCAGGGGAGTGATAGGACTAAGTACCTGTCATTGGCATTGCAGAAAATACCTGCATAACATGACTATATGCAATAATGACCCCATTTTTAATTTATGCAATGAGGGGGAAGAAAAAGTCATTTAAATGCGATGCAATTGCTCAATAGAAACAACCCGGCATACAAAGAAAACCCAGGGAATGGAAAAATTTTATATGACAGCAGTCAATGGACTTCTGAGAAGAAGGATCGATTCGATTGCACTGAACTAAAGAACTAGAAAAGTATAATAAGCCAGAAAGCTGCATTGTGTAGCGAACAAAAACAACCCCGCCCCCTGGACTTCCTAGTAACCATATTCATCATCATCACCAGTTACAGAAGCCTTTCAAAGAAATGTTTATGGCAGAATAGTATTATAAGCTCCCATTCCCCTTTAAGGGGCCTACTCACAGCTTATAAGATACCAGATTCGTGGCGTCTCAAGTGTCGGGAGTCCGTCTCCCTTCACCCATTCGCGGTAATGCCAACATTTCGATTTGACCCCTCAGTTTACATTGGGCTGTTGTGCAACTTGGTTCAACTCTAATAAAATCACAATATCCCCACTTAGATTGATTTTTTTCAAAAACGAAACTAATTCTCCCCATGCCTTTTGCCTTAATCTATTATTTGAGTAAACTTCGGATTTCAACTTCCATTGGCACAGTAGGTTTATGTATTATTTTTCAATGAACTCTAATAAAAATTCTGGATTGAAAAACAATTTTTCCGCTTCAGTTTTGTTTGAGAACTGATACAAAAGGGCTACACAATCTGAATAAACAAACTAAACCACCTTTCTACCCTCCATCATCTGATGCTTGGCCTCTCTACCCCACTCACCTAGACTTCTCTCTTCCTTGAACACCAGGAATTATACTCCAGACACTGGATGCCTGGCAGCAGGCTTATCACCCTAACACTTGACCCCATTCACAGAGACTTTTCCTTTACATCAGGCTTCTGGGACACCAAAAGGCCGGACCTGTCCCTGTAAGTAGGCCCCTTTAATTTAGTTTGTGTAGATAAATATTCATATAACTTTTTTTTTTTTTTTTTTTTTTTTTTTTTTTTTTTTTTTTTTTTTTTTTTTTTTTTATCATCCTGATGTTACATTTGCTGTATGAGTATCAGAGAAGAGGCCATCAAATAAAACTCAAAAAATTGCAGTCCAGCTTTTGGCCTATTATTTATTTTTATTTAAGTCATAAATTGTCCTGATTTATGTCATTAAATAGGCCGAAAGCCTGCCTAGAATTTTTTGAGTTTTCTGTGATGGCCTCCTCCTCGATGCTTGTACAAAATATGTAAAAATTCATAATAAGTTTTTGTCTTTCAATAATTTTATAAGTGGCAATAAAACTATGACTATTATAATACTTTATCTTAGAAAAAAGGTCATTGTAAAAAATAAGAATGAATAGATAACAACAAATAAAAAAATCAAATTGCCAAAACACATCTTATAAATCCAATCGATCAAATACAGAGTAGGATCATCACAGAGGATCATATTATTAATTTGTTATAATAACCTTAAAGTTTTCAACAGTGTGGTTGTTCCACAAATGTTCAAGTATTAAAATTGTATGTCGAGTTCTTTCTGTAAAGTCAGTTCATTCTGTGGGAGGAGCACAATACTTCTTACTGCTTTGTATTCACGACACACTTGGGAAATGAATTGGGAAAATCTTATACTTCTCACTTTGTGTAACGTTATGTTAACAATTTTTACTATTTTTTATTTATTATTATCCTTGGGGTATATCTTTTCAACATACGTGCATAGCTGTGATAACGATGAGTGCCTAGCTCTTTTTGATCTCTTGTAGTTGATTCACCATCGTTTTGAGGTGACGGAGTCTCATCCTTTGCCATTCCCTCATGATTGCATTTTTCCTTTTAATTTTTTCAAGATATAATTGTGGGGGGGGGTGTTTCTGCAAAGTTGGTTGGTTTTGTGATGAGGATGATCTGCGGAGATCTGGGCTGCTGCTTTGATTATTTGATTGAATTCATCAATATCAGAGCTGGTCCCTTGATTGCAGGGTATTTTAGTTTTGAGTTTATTATTTTTTGTTTAGAGCGGCTAGTCTATTGTTCCTGTATACGGTGTCAACACGAACTTGCCCTTGGATAGGTGTGATAAAAGTTTTACTATTTAAATTAATTTTAAACCGCTTTAATCCAACCAGGCAGACATAAGCTATTCAAACAGTTTGAGCTCAGAACAGCATGAATGAATGAAGTATGTAGAATGTCAAACAGAGTTGATCTGTCAAATGATTTTTTTTTTTTTTAAATAAAAAAAGTACTTTGTTAATTTATTGCTGCATTATTATCTAGCAAATAATAATATGTAAATGTAAATATTTCCATTTTTGTTGTTAGATGGTGTAGTCTTGATAGATCCAGATTATGTTAAAGAAAGGAAGGTGTTTGGACATGTACTTGCTGCGTTCAGATATGGCCGGGAAGATTTGGATGTGCTGGGGCTCACATTCAGGAAAGACCTTTACTTGGCCGCCGAGCAGATTTACCCTCCAATTGAACAACGTCAAAAGCACCCTATAACAAGGCTACAAGTATGACAGTTTTGATATTCATCCAGTATGAATAAACTTGAATTGATTGTTTTCATTTTGCAGGAACGACTGATGAAAAAACTAGGTCCAAACGCATACCCTTTCTACTTTGAACTTCCCCCGCATTGCCCTGCGTCGGTGACACTCCAGCCTGCACCAGGCGACACAGGAAAACCGTGCGGCGTCGACTATGAACTGAAAGCCTTCGTTGCGGAAAATCAAGATGACAAACCACATAAACGGTAAAAGAAAATCAAATTGAACAATTATTTGTTATTATGACAAAATATGCCACTTGTTTCAGAAATTCTGTAAGGTTAGCTATCAGGAAGATCATGTATGCTCCTTGTAATCAAGGTGAACAGCCTTCTGTAGAAGTCAGCAAAGAATTCATGATGAGCCCTAATAAACTGCACTTAGAAGCATCTCTTGACAAAGAGGTTCATACATTATTTATTTAATTTTTGTTTTAAATATTTAAATATTAAAACACGTATTGCTTATGTTTAAAGCTTTATCATCATGGGGAAAGTATTGCAGTAAATGTACACATAGCAAATAATTCTAATAGGACTGTAAAAAAAATTAAAGTTTCTGGTAAGAAAACATTTTGAAATATTCTTATGATTAGTCACAATATATACATTTTAAAACTCATTGAAGAATATTACATCACATAAGAATTTGTTTTTATTTTACAGTCAGACAGTTTGCGGATATTTGTTTATTTTCAACAGCACAGTATAAGTGTACAGTTGCAGAAGCAGAGAGCGAGTGAGTATAATTTATTTTCAATTTTTTTGTTTAAATGCCGTAACATATTATGTAAGAAAGTATTGATTTTTTTTTTTTTTCAATGACATCAAATATGACAAATAATTTTTTTTAACAATAAATAAATAAAAAATGAATATGAGAGTAAAATGGTGAGAGTGCCCAGGGGTGGAGTAGGTCCCGGTTTCACCCTTTCACGAGTGGTGACCGTTAGACCGACACTGCAAAACAACAAGGATAAACGAGGCCTAGCGTTGGACGGCCAGCTGAAACACGAAGACACCAATCTAGCCTCGAGTACAATGTGAGTCAATGGGCACCGATTAATGATGATGTATGGTTTCTTTTGGTTTGAGACAATTGATTTTGGTGAAGGACAAAAGCTGTTTCTCTCTATTGATGTTTTTATATTCCTCTCCACGACACTAAAACCTTTGGGTATTTCCATGGAATCAATTTGTTTCAAAGAGTTCCTTTTTCCACTTTTCTTCTTTGACTTGATAATTCAATCCATTTTTACTTTCCATTATTGTATTATTATTATTTAATATCATTTATTTTATTATTATTTATGATCCATTTTCTTTATCCATTTTTAACAATAAGCAACGATTATTCAGTTTCTTCTTACCCCCATTAACTCTTTATTAGTTCCTTGATTATATTTATTTTCTATTTACTGTTTATTTTATATTTACATCTTAACTTTGTAACTAGATGTTTAATTTTTTTATACTTTCTATCATGATAGATATTTTATGTATTTATCCATAACTTTTTATACTGTACAATTTTTTTTAAAATTTGTGATTTAATCCAAAGAACTGGCTAATATAGCAAAATTATTTTTTATCCAATGAACGATTTTTTCCTTTTTACTCTATTGTATTTAGATTTTATAGTATTGGTGTTCTGCTGTAAATTTGTTTAAAAGAAATTCTGCATGAACCCTTTGTAATCAAATTGTGTCGTAATTGAGCATGGAAATACCCCGTTCACGTGCAGTTTCGCTTCCTCGCCTCCTTACCGGAGAGGGACGGTGTGGGGCAAAACTGTGTCACGCCTAAGTGACAATGGTGTTGGTGGTGATGGTGATGATGTGAGCATAAAGATGGGTGATGGTACACAGGGAAGGTTGCCCTATCGGACCGGGTTTCACGCTCTCGAAGGTCTTCTCGTTGACTCCGCTCTTGGCCAACAACAAGGACAAATGGGGCCTTGCTCTAGATGGCCAGCTGAAACACGAAGACACCAACCTTGCTTCGTCCACTCTGTGAGTACTTAGAAAATGCGCAAACAAACAAGAATAAATATTTTTTTATATTTTAAATATACTGGCAAACGCACAGAATAAATGTATGTGTTTGTTTAAATGTGGTGTTTTTTTGACATTTTTAGTAAATTTTAATACTTGCTTTAAATTGGATTTAGTTCAAGATTGGAATTCCCCAATATGTTTTTCAACACGCTTTATTGCTTAATATGATCTGAAATCTTCTAGAAATAAATAAATACTTAATATTATCAAAAATGTTTGGGTTTAAGGGAAAATATTATTGTGGTGTTTGTATCGATGTGGTTATATTCCCATCACCATCGATACGAACATCACAATTATATTCAACAGTCATCGCAAGTTACGGGAAAATATTACTTCAAACAAATATAAAATCATCAACTCTATGAGTTATATTTTACTGTCATCATTGCACTGACACATTTTATCCAAACTAGACATCTTTTTGTAGATTAATGAATGCTTTACGATTGGATTATTTAGTTTAAGCAGAGAAATTGCATTGTTATCAGTGCTTTGTGATCCTAAAAAAAATAAAAAAACAATTTTCCAAAACAAAATCTTTCCAATAGTTCTTTTAATTTGTGCTTCCAAAATTTGACTAATTGTTGAAGTTACAGTCACATTGTATTAGCAATTTATCCCCATGGATTTTTGATTATTAAACTTTTGCCCGTCAGTTTGATCTACTCATGTTTTTTCTCTATTTTTTTTTTTTTTTTTTTTTTTTTTTTTTTTTTTTTTTTTTTTTTTGCCAAACTTCCACTATTCCAAAAGTAAATAAAGTACACAGAGGAAACATAATCCAAAATAACTTTCCATTTGCTTTCATGAGAGCCTACAAGCATAAAGCAGCATATGTCCACTATTTCAGTTCTAAGTTAATGAACTGTTAAGAAAGTAACATGCAAGAGTAAGCAAACTACAACGATCAAGGATAAATGGGAAATTGCACTATGAAGAATCCATTAGAGTTTGTGGTCCAATTGACTGACCAAATAACTTTTTTTCAATTAATTAATCTTTATGTAAGGTATGGTTGAGATAAAGAAGTCAGTGTCACGAGCGGGATTCGAACCCACAACCTTCCACTAAATACGCCGCTGCTCTTCCACTTGAGTTATCGTGACTTCGATCCACTCGGACACAAACTTCCCATCTCAACCCCACTTCCCATCAAAGTCACGATAGCTCAAGTGGTTGAGCGACGCCATATTTAGTCAAAGGTCGTGGGTTCGATTCCCGCTCGTGACGCTGACTTCTTTGTCTCAACCAATACCTCACCTAAAGACTTTGAAGAATTAAGAACCTTATGAAGTAATACCAGGTAACCAGAAAAGTTGGTGCAAGTTTAAATAATTCAATAATTGTCACAATTAAAATTAGTTAAGAATATTTTATCTGGGAAAATAAAATACATCATCTATAACCTTCTTCCAAGCTCTCGCCCAGTTATGCCTATTCTATAGAAGTTTGGATCCTAGGGCTTAAAAAAAATTAGCTCATTTTTTACTGTTATCAAACTCTCAATTGTGCATATGATTGTGAATTGGTAAGAAAAGGTGAAAATCAGATGGACCCAAGTGTGGAGAGTATGGAGGACTTCCCAAACAAGCTTCATTATTACATTTCTAATCTGGGCCAAGGCAAGAGATATTCGTTGCAGTTGGCTTCAGTAGATTTCCATGTGGCAGATGTTCGTAGGACGCAATGCCTGGCGTACTTCACCAAACACTTAATATCACCTTGTGTCGGTGAATATTCAGTTTTTGCGACAATGGGACAGGAGGGTCAAGTGAGTCAATGGTATTACCGTACATGATCCATTTGTTGTCACATGTGACAATGTGATCAAAAAATCCCTACTTTGTATTGTAAATGTAATGAAAGGCAAATGTTTACACGCTGAAGTACATCACTGTCAATTTATGAAGTGTTGTTTGTTCATCTTCCATATCTTTCCAAGTCAATGAAAGTTAGAACGAATGTTTTCTTGGCTTAATTGAACACTAGTGAGCTCCTGAGACTGCTCATGTTCAATTCAAGTTTAATAGCTTCCCTCAGTTTTTGTCATTCAAGGCAGAAGGTCGACCAGACTGTAGTTCATCTTGAATCAATGTGTTGGGCAGTTCACTACTTTTCAGTTCATTACCGAAGACAGTGCAAATTTTAAGAGCTACTCAGCTGCTCTAGTATCAAGCTTAAATTCATACAATTATGAGTTTTGAAGCCATGAGAAAGAAAATATTATAATTTACAGAATGTCTGAAATCACCAAAAAAAGCAATAATGTATATTTCATCTATTTACATTGCAATATTTAGCACCACCTATTCCCCTTCCAGTGAAAACTATCGTTAGTAACCCCATACCAAAACCTCATAAATCCCTCTGCGCTCCATCCTCTTATAGACCAATTAGCCTCCTTCCTATTTTATCCAATATCTTTGAACATCTCCTTAAAAGACTAATTCCCATATTTAACCCTGAAAACTTAATTCCTAACCATCAATTTGGATTCCAACCTCTCCATTCCACTGTTCAGCAATGCTGCAGAATAGTCGATACAATATCTTCGGTTCTAGAGAACAAACAATACTGCTCAGTCGTATTTCTGGACGTTACAGAAACATTTGACCGAGTGTTGCACCTCGGCCTACTTTATAAGTTAAAACGTATCCTCCCTCATGTGTACTATCTTATCCTGACGTCGTTCCTTTTGGATTCGATGGTTTAAAGTGAAAATTAGCACCACCACAGGAATCAAAGCAGGCGTTCCACAAGGAAATATCCTCACAATATCTATACTGCTGACATACCCACACATCCAAACACACAACTTACAACCTATGTAGATGCCACTGCAATCTTATCAACACATTCTAATCCTATCCAAGCCACAGCAGCAATCCAAGTACATCTGAACCTCATTACCGACTGGTGCAATCGGCGGTGTCTGGTTGAATGAGTAAAAAAGCCAATAAGTAATTTTTATGCTCAAAGGTCAACCAACCTCAACCATCCCTAACCATTAACAACGGGATAATACCACCATCAAACACAGTGCAAATTTTATGAGTTCATTTGTTGTAGTTGTTCATTTTGTTGTTCATTTGAGTAGTTTTATGGGTCATTTGTCCTAGTAATGAGCTTAATTTCATGCAATTATGAGTTTTGAAGCCATGAAAAAGAAAATATTTTATAATTTACATTCTTTATGAACTGAAACATGTAATTTTCATATGTAAATAAAAATGTTGACTAACAGTATTACAGCAATAACAAATGAAAGACCACATGAACTTTTCTGGTTACCTGGTAATTGTTTGGCTCATAATTGAATTTTTTTCTGTAGATTTTGTCAAATATCCACAAAACCAAATGCAATTATTACATAGGGGGCCACGTCGGTTTAGGCATTGACACAGCACTCGTCCGGCGGCACACTGAGGGTTGATATGACCTCTGCTATTGCGATAAATAGCAAAATAAATATAAAAAATTAAAATGAAATGCGATAAAAAATAAAATGAATATAAAAAATTAATCCAAGGATGCAAAATTATTCATTCAAATGCGGCAGAGGTCGCAACAGTTAAACCATTGATGCAGTGCTAAGGTCTAACCCTAAGTACTTACAAATGAGCTTTTTTTTTTTTTTTTCCCCCAAAAACATCAGCACCCAGAGGTTAATATGGCCTATGCTGTTGTGAACCCCCATTAGAAAAAAAAATGATCCACAATAATAGACTAGTTCTCCAAATGGCTTTATGTAAACATACCCTAGCTTTCCTAGACAAACTCAAGAGAGAACATGACAGAAATGTTTCACAACAATGAAATATCTCAAAAAGTACGGCAATAACTACATGAATAGTTAGATTAGAATTATCTTGGATAATCCAACTGTTGATGCTTATTAGTGAATAGATATAGCAAACATAAATTATTCAAAAACCTTAACATCAAAAATCAATCATACAATCCTACAAAAAATAAATTCACACTGGAACTGACTATGTTTGATTTTTGGTCAGCCCATTGGCCAACTTTGCAGAAAGTTTCTCGCCTATGGACTGTTATCTGTCCCCCCACATTGGAACCAACTTAATTGGGCATTGTTTATGCCCATTTAGTTTTGGCCTGTGACTCCATCCCAGCCAGTTGAGATTTTTTGCTTTCGACTGATGACCTAGGCTCACTTCCAAAGGACGAACTGCAAAACAACTTATTAATAAACTCTACAATCAAAATGGTGTGTGTGTTCCTCATTCGCTTCCTCATTACTACTAGTGTACAATATAAATTATTTATATTTTTATTTTCTTGAAAAAATGCACACACACAAAACAATGTTTGCACATTTCCTAGGTAGCCTAATGGTGGGCTCGGAGGACCATTCATACTAGTTCACAGTAAAAATCTAAACTATTTCTGGTCCGCTCGCTACTTTCAACTGTACACAATATTTTAGACCAATGAGATGGGCACAATTGATTTTGGATTGTTTACTCGTTTTCAAGTGAATTCTCACTTTTTGTGGATTTCTGCTCAGGATGTGAGCCTTTAGTGCACTTTTTGATGTGATATTGTTTGGTTTTTTCATTAGTAGCCTTGGGCTCAGAAAAAGAAACTCTTTTAATGTAAGAAATTGCCTTTAAATTATCTAGAAAACCTAAAAATTAGGGGGGAAATCATTCCAAATTCATGCCAACCACAACTGATGAACAAAACGGCTCTGACAAGTCTATTCCAATATGAGAGCTCATATCAGATGAGTATGTTATTTGTAGTCGCAATCAGAGGTATTCAGTTCCAGTGTGACACCAGTCTAAGTTTAAGTACATAATTATTTGCATTAAAATTGATTGCCTATAAATTGTTGCATTGTATTTATTTTTTTATATTCATATAATAACTATTTAGTTTTTTTTTTTTTTAGAAATAATTGTTATTGTTTCAAAATTAACATATAAACATTAAGGACAATCTCTGACTTGTGACAATTTATTGCATGTGCTGCTTAGGTTCCATGAATTAAATTGTAAACAAAGTTGATGCATTACGTACGTCCATTCATATATGTATGACATATTCATAAAATAATATGTAGCTCGTTAATTGTATATAAAGGCTTTTATTTTTGATAGAATTTTGCAGAAAGAAAAAAATTGATTTATGTTATTTTGTAACACAATTACAATAAAATGTCCTCCAGATGATTCTACTGTACATATTTTTGTCAAAGTGTAAACTAAAATTAAAACAAGTTCTAATTTAGTTAATAATTATAATAATAATCTTATTTACTGTGTTACTAATGGCTAAAATGAATGTACATAAAATAAATTAAATATAAATATTCACTAAGGGTTTATGTATTATTTGAAAAATAACAAAACTGTTCAGTTTTATAACAATGCCTTAATGTCGAACAGTAAAATCATGGAAAATCGCATCCATGAATTATAAGTTGTTTATAACTCTTGTTAAGAAAGTAATCTTTAATTGAGATTACTTATTGAGGAAGCTTATTTTTATATGCTCAAAGACAAAAAATGGACACGTCTTTATTTGTTTGTTTTACATAATAACTATACATAAAGATTACTAATTAATTTAAAAGATAAACACAACATTAATAACTTGTTGTTATGTTTATAGAGTATTATTAATCATTTTCCACTCTTTAGATTAAAAATATAAAAAAATCCGTTCAAGTTGTCCTTCCCAGAGCTGATTGGTCAAGTGGATTAATTGTTTCTTTAATGAAACAATAAATTTGAGTAAAAAATTAATTATTAATTTTTTCTTAAAAGAATTTTTCTAAGTCGAAATCTCGCTCGGGCAGATGCTTTGGCGTGAATTTTTTCCCAAATCAACATAATTAAATATTTTGTAATAAAATTCATAAATCATGTTTAATTTGGTTTACATGAAAATAAGTATATTGTAACTAATATAACGATAAAAATACATATGGTTTGAAATAAAGAACAAAATACGAGTGTCCGGTTTTTGTCTTTGAGTGTATATCATTATTTTCTTTGGAATTTTAGTTTTGATTTTTTCCCCCTTCGGAGAGCTTGAATAAATTATTTTTGCCTCATGTGCCTGCTGTCTGCCAAACCATCATCGCCATCATTGCCACCATTATCATTTGAGACAATTGCATGCTTGCATTTCAGTGTGCATGTGTTTCATCGTGCATGCATTTCTCTTTAAGCTTGGGCTATGTTTTGTTTTTTATTAATTCTTATACTATTCTGTGTTTTGAAATGTAGCAACATCACTTTTAACATACACTAACAATTTAAAACAATCGATAAATGTTCAAATGAATGTAAATTATAAAATTATCATTTACAGTGTAGCTGATCCTTCTCAAAGAGAAAATCTTGGTATAATAGTGCAGTATAAAGTCAAAGTTAAACTTTGCCTCGGGCCGCTAGGAGGGTAAGGATCAGATTACAGAGAAAATTGTAAATTGAATCAGATACTCAGGTAACATGTCTTGCAGGGATTTAGTCGCTGAGCTTCCGTTTATTCTTATGCACCCTAAACCGGAAGAAGAACCTCCGATTAACACAGGTGGAACTGACGCCACTCAAGCCCCAAATAATAATGATGTTCCTGTTGACACCAACCTCATACAATTAGACACGTATGTAAAGCTTTTATCTATATTTTCTAGATTTGTCTTTAAACTGGCTCAAATATTACGAATTGTGTGCACAAGCATTTTGCTGTTTTTTTTTGTTTTTTTTTTGTTTTTTTAGCCATTTTTTAATTGATTATGAGTCTTTACTCTTCTAAAGGGAATGCCCTATATACTTTCTGCTTTTCATTTTAATGTATAGGATCATTTTTTTAATGGTAAATTTGATGAAAATTTCAGATACTTGTAAACAAAAAATCAATATATGAACCAGTTTGTTCCAATACTTTTTGCCATTTTCCATGTAGTTTTGTAATTCCGTCCTCTTTGAACTTCTCAGGCTTTTAATTGATAAATTCTACATGTTTTCTCTGTACTCGGAAGTGTGTAAACAATAATGACTAAATAAAAATTGCTTCTAAACACAAATAGGATAAAATTCAAATTAGAAATGTGCTATGGACTGCTTATATGCCGATATTTTATGACCTGGTAACATAAAAACATTGGGGGGAAAATGGCAATTTTGGTGTTTATTTTGACGATCAGTACCAATTTTGCATTTTTAATCTAACACTAAACCTTGTACTGTTATTATTTCAGGGATGAACATTTTGGTACTGGTGAACCGGATGACGATATTATATTTGAAGATTTTGCTCGCCTCAGACTAAAAGCCGGTGAAAGCGAAGCCTAAAACATTTCTAAGTAAAGAAGAGATGAAGCGGAAAAGAAAGATTACCCTTTATAACACGTAAGATAATTGTATACTAATTCAGTATAATAACACAACACAAAAGTACAAGTCGGGCACACAATTATACAAACAAAGGCATTTTTGATATTGTCCCAGTATCTTTAGTGGAGGCCCAGTGATTGGGAATTGTGGTCAGTTCTACTTGCCCTTGTTTACTTTAATTTAAAATTGTAATCGGATGTATACAAAAAATTCTTTGGATCTGTAACTGCATTCCAAATAATATTATTATATGTTTATATTTTTTAAAACTTGTTTTATCTATTTCTAATATTGTTTTTAATATTATTGGAAAATTTTATATGCCCCCTGCTTTAATCTAGTCCACAGAAATTGAAGTTAGGATGTGTGTTGTATATTTTGTTTGCTATTTATTAATATGCTATGCAAGTCAAGCCCAGATACAATCCAATGAAGACAGGTTTAATTTGATAATTACAAATTTGCCCTTCAATTTAAGGCTGCCATTGCTAACTTACCCAAAGAAATGTTAGTTTTCCTATGCCTGTTTGAACCAAGTCTGTTACCCAAAAAATGTACCCAAATTCCCAGAAAATTATAAAAATAAAAAAAAAATTGCCTGGTTGTATTTTAATTATTATAGTTGTCTCCAGTATTTCTATGCACAAAAAAGGTTTAAAGAACTATAATGCAATGTTATATGTGAATATTTGTATGGTATGTAGTGAGAAATATGTTCTTTAGAAATTGTTTTTAGTACTAGTGTACATTGGTATGTCTTGTAATATATTTATTTGTAATTTAAAGAAGAGATTAAAAATTTTTATTAAAAACAAAAAATACTGCATTTATACCACTTTTTTATCAGGTGGGGAGTTGATGCTTGATATTATTTACATTCTTTTTTCTTCTTTTTTACTCCAAAAAAAATTGACTTCCAATGAATTTTTTATTGAATTATTAAATTTTGATAATTTATTGAGTAAAAACTATTAAGTGAAATTATATTTTAGCAGAAAATTGGCAATAATAGATTTTGGGGTACCTTATAGGTTTAAGACATTTTTATAATGTTATGATATCGATATTATATTCAATATTACAAATTTAAAAAAACAAATAAATAAGAAAAAAGAAAAATTGTATGGTATAATTTTGTATACATTTCACATATATTTATGGATGTAACAAAAAATCTAAAAAATATTAACGTATCAATAAAAAAATACAATATTCTTTGAATATTAACATTTGACTTTTATTACCACACCAAATCCTTATAGTGCTCTCTTTACAATTTTTTTTGATAATTTTTTCAAATCTTCGATACTATTTAATCTTCCACTATCTTTTCTTTTTTTACAAATCAACAAACATATAGTACTGTGCACTTTGAAAAGAAATATGATATTTTGAATAAAAGATTGGATAACTGGTTATCAAAACAAACTTCAAAATCTTTAGATTCGAAAAAATATGTTACTAATTTAACTAATACTGTAATACCAATTGATGTTTCCGTATATTCGTTTTAGAGCCTACCTACAATTTACCCTATCCAAAAGGTAGTTTCCCAACCGGTGATCTCATAAATGATGCAGAAATGATTGTTAGTAATATAAAAAATTAGAAAGAGAAAAATAATGTTAGGCAGACTCTGCTAACATTATAAGAAATGGATTCACCAAAAAATAAACTCTCCCTAACCCTCTTTTTGAAAAATCCATTCCAAAAACTTGAACATTCACAAAAAAAACCAATCCAAACTTGATTATTTCAAAAGTAGATAAGGGCAATATCTCAGTGGTGTACAAAAAATCTCACTATAAGAAAGAATGCAAGAATTATTAAATGATAAAAAAATTAAGTCTGATCCGACGAAGAAAATTCAAACAAAATGTAACTCTTTAGTTGATAGTTCTTATACAATCCCTTGGTTGGCAGGTGGTTTATGGAACGGAGGAAATATGTATCAACCTCCACAAATTGATAATGATTTCATTAGCAAGAAAGAGGACAATAAGAAGCCTAAAAACTCCAAGCCTAAACTGGACCCTGACTCCGTTTTCCAAGGAGGCCAAATATCTAGGTATCCTACTAGACCAGCAGCTCACTTGGAATCAACATATAACTAAAACTACCCAAAGAATCAACATTGCCAGAAGGTTCTATGCCAAGAAGTGGGAATTAAATCCCAAAATGATCCTACGGTTATACACCTGTGCCTTAAGACCAAGCTGTCATGTGGGTCAGTGATGTGGTGTGCCGAGACTAGGCTAAAACAATTAGGCCATTACGTGGCACTCAAAGACAAGCGTGTCACTGGAGTCATAAGCACAACTCCAACTTCAGCATTGGAGGTGTTGTTAAATCTCCCACCATTTCATATTTTAATCAAAGGAGAAGCCTTGAGAAGCAGCTCACAGGCAATTGGACAACCATCTACAAGGATAGGCCATGTAAATAAACAATGGGAAAAAAAAAGGGAGGAGATACAGATAGATGCCATATTAGGCATGCCAATTGATGCCACTTCTCCAAAATATAATTGAACTAAAAAAAGAACAAGGTATTGATACCACAACGGGAAGAATGGGGCCAAAGGAACACTGCTATAGGCAAATTCCTACTAGTACACTAACAGCTCCAAAACTGACAAGCACACTGGGGCTGGAGTCGTCGGGATGAATCATAACAATGAACTGACTTCTAAGCTTAGGTAAATATGCTATAGTTTTCCAGTCTGAAAGCCTAGCATTGAACACTGTGACAGGGAAATTAAACATCTACGAATATATTCCTGGAAGGTAGCCATCTTCTCTGACATCAGGCTGCACTAAAGGCCCTTGTTTTATGTGAAGTGAAGGCAAAGAGTGTTGCCGTTTGGCACTACATGGAGGCCCTGGTGAAAGTCGGCGACACTAATGTCCTGACCCGCCATGCGTCCCTGGGCATTTGGAGCATAGAGGCAATGAAAAAATTGACATGTTGGCCAAAGAGAGAGCCAACATGGACTGGACGCTCTAGGTCCCGAACCCTCCTGTGGCCTAACATCTCGCCACAAAAGAGGATACCTCTTAAAACGGATTCTTAATGAGTCCAAAGTTTGATTGAATAATTCCCCAAGCTTAAGGCCCACAAGAGATTCACAGAAATGCCATCTGCAAAAGCTATAAGGGAATTACTGAAAGACAACCACAACCGAACGAGGAATCTGGTTGGACTCCTGACAGGGCACGGCCACCTAAAAAAGCACATGCAACAGAGAGGAGCACAGACAGAACAAACACTGTGTAGATACTGCCAGGAAGAGAAGGAGGCCACAGAACACCTTTTATGTTTTTGTGAAGGTTCAGATTCTTGCAACTAGGAGAAGAAAAGCCGCAAACAAGATTCTACAATAAGGAGCTGCTGGTAAGACTATGGATTTTGACAATCTCAAGCTGGCCAGTGAGTTACACAAAACATACATGAGCTTAATAGATCAACGCAGGTCGAGATGCAGAAGGCCTTTTGGCCATCTATTTATCCCTATCCTTTAGTTGATAACCGTTTTGAAATAAAATACATTGATAAAAAGAAAAAGATGCTATCCAAAATGAATAATTCGTTATGCCCAAATATATATGGCCTTCCAAAAATCCACAAATTGAGCCCATAGTTTCATCTATTAATAGAACATCTGTTGAACTATCAAAATATATTGCTCAGGTTAGACTTAAGAAAATCTTATGATGTCAAAAATTCATCTATCTTTAGAGAAACTGTCATCGGTCTCAGTATAGAGAGGATGTGATACATATAACTTTAGATGTGAAGTTATGTTTATTCACCAGAGTACCATTAAGCTGGGTTTTCACTGCACACACAACTCACTGGCACAACGGTTTCACGAAAATTGTCTCATATTGTGGAGACCGCGCTGAGACTGAAAATTTTGGCGCAAGGATATTTCGGAGTGAGCCAACCGGGTGTCGATTTTTTAGTGTACATCAAAGTGTTGTTTGTTTCGCTTCGTGTAAATGCACTTGCCTAGAGTATGAGAATGAACCAGTAGGAGTGCATTAGACTTATCCGAATGTATCACGGCTACCGATTTTTGTGGGATGCTAAAGATAAAACTCATCAGAACAAGACCAAGAGAGAAGATGCGTCAAAGGAAATTAGCATCAAAATGGAACAAACTCGGTACTCTTAAAGCAAAAACGAAAACTATAATGGCGTTCACTACAAAATAATTCTTTGATCCACCAATGGTGTTTTCTTTGTTTGTTTTTCTTCTTAACATAAAGATTCGCCATGATAGCAAACGCTGATGCAGCAGTTTTTGTAATTATAAATGGCATGCTTGTCTCACACAACTGATGGCTCACCTTTTTTCGCTTCTATGTTGTGAAATATGGAAATCCAGCTTTACGGTTAATAAGTTAAATACTGCTGGATATGTGCAAAACAGGCTTAAAGAAACACCAACAAATTGTTTGACGGTCTAAGCTTTTTCTCTATTGTCATGTCCACAAGTTTTATGTTAGGGTAAAGTTCCTTATAAAGGAGATGTTGGCAGGATAAGCTAACCATGTCATGTGCCTGATAGGCAATGCTTGTCTTTACTGAGATCAAGAGCCAACCCAAAAAGTATTTGGGTGCATGCAAAGTCAGTTACCCCTATATCCTTCACTGACAAATCAGTGACAACCCAATTTAGTCTATGCCTGAGAATTTCTTCTGCCACTATTCTTCGGTAGTGTTCCGGAGTACGTGCAATACCTTTGCTACATATGATAAGTGGCTTTTTAGGATATGGGAAAAAATTTAAGTTTTAACTGCGTTTCTAGCTTTGGGGTATACACAGGTAAAAACAGTAGAAACCATAACACCTGTTCAACCTTAATTTCTTTTTTTGGTGCTCAAATCCCCACACCCTGAAATGCATAGTACACGATAGATCACGAGACTGCACAAAAAATCTTCAGCTTTTTAGGACAACTTTGGTGTGAGAACTGCACCTATATATTTACAGATATTAATAATGGTAATTGGCTTAACATTGAATGCCCCGGGATCCATAGAAAAGTGGAGGAAAATGACCTCGTTTTTTGAGAGTATCAGTGTATGACGTTTTGTACTCTATTTTAACAAGAGATTTTATGCTTTATTGCTACCAAGGAATTTGTGCATATACTGTTTATTGTAAAGAGAAAGAGGTGATGATTGATCACAAAATGGTGCGCACGAACTATCAGAGGAAATTGATCTGAAAATGCAGCAAAGAAGAGGAGCCAAGTATCTTCTTTTTTTTTTTTTTTAGCTCATTGTGTAGATAATATGAAGTGTGTCCCATGTTTCTTGGAATCTTTGTAATATCTAATCTCATATTAGAAAATGTTAAGTACCAAAGGTGTAATTAGGTTTGATGTTGGGTGTTGGTCTACAAGTTGGTGAACTCGCTTTGTAGATGTAGATGAACGATGATTTGGGGTGAGTAATGTACCGTGCCCTTGAGAGCTATTGCATCCCCCGTTATGTGCGTATAGCACTCTTGTGAGCCCGGGCAAATGTGGTGCCACAGTTGGTTAGTTGATCCATTGATATCTCCTCTACTTCCTTGCAAAATCTGCACATGCCATATTGGATTATAACAATCTTCTTTATTTGACCAGTGTCCTATCAATAATCCTGTCAGGATTCGAAGTTTTTTCCTGCTTCCTTTAATGCACTCTGTTGCTTCTTTCCTTTCAAAAAGGTTCTTTGAGTGTTTGTGTTCAATGAGTGAATTCCACTTTTTCTTCATTTTCATTTTATCTTTTTGTCTAAGGTACTCATTGATAGTGTGAATCCCTATGTCGCAGAAAGTCTCAGGACCTATCAATGGTATAGCAGCCCCCTTCTTTGCACGAGATTTTAATGCTTATCTTGCAACCAGAAATTACTGATGAAACAAGAAGAGTTTCACCAGAATAAGCACAAAGACTGAAAACAGAGCTCAAACCGAAAGCTCTCAACGAAAGTTGATGCCTGCTTTATGCACTGAGTCTGTTTTTATAATATTATCATTGACAAAGGAGTGCAAATCCATAATCTATTCGAGAACTCACAAGCCTTTCTTCTGTGCGTCTCCATATGA